GTTCTAATTATTACAAACACACATGAGATATCTTATCTTCTTTCTTATCTCTCGATAATATACGATCGATGAATTCAAGATAAATGGATTTTGCGAGAAAATTATATAGAACTTTTATATTATGTGTGCTACATCGTCGTCATCGTCGTTCTAGTCGTCGTCGTCGTCGTCGTCGTCCTCGATGTCATCATCGTCGTCTTGGGATAAGCGTTTAACTAACCGTGAAACGATATTATTCGATCGATATATCTAGTAATAGATATAAATGAGAATTAAAATTTGAAATGTCTTTCGAACGTTCGTTTTATACTCGTTTAAACGAGTTCCTTTTATTTCTTCCATTTCTTTTTTCTCTCTCTCTCTCTCTCTCTCTCTATTTTTTTTCGTTTTTTTCCTCCCCATCTAAGATGTGTTTCCACCATAATAAATCGAAATCGAATGGTACTAACGTCGAGAACATTTATATTCCCTTCTTCGATTTAGTATTCTTCATTAATTCGCGCGGACATGTTCCTTTTCCCGTATAAAAAAAAAAAAAATAAAAAATTAAGAAAGAAAAAAAAAAAAAGAAAGAAAAATTCACTCGAGATAAAAACATTAAATCTTATTTAAAATGTAAGAATTTTTTTTTCCTTTTTTTTTTTTTTTTTTTAATCATAATCTCCAAAATGAATCCGATTGAAAGTTCACTTCGAGGATTGCGAAATGGTGTTTAATAAAAAGTTTCACGATATTCATTAATAAAGCTAATTGAGCGATCCTTATAATTTCAAAGTAAGGTATCATCTACATCGGTTAATCTTATAACGTTCGTAATATTCCTACAAAGCTAAGATCGCGTGACTCGAGCTTATTTCGTCGAGAGAATCACAAATTACGTGCCCGAAGGAAATTCATCGATTATCTCTCTCTCACTCTCTCTTTCTACTCTCTCTCTTTCTCACTCACTTTTGAAGCTTTCAAATTTGATTCTATGAAAAGCATCCCTTATGTTTTTTAAGAAAATTTTCTTAATCGAGGGAAAGTGGTGCGTGTTAGACGTCAAAAGAAGAAGAAAAAGAAAAAAAAAAGAGAGAAAGAGAGAGAGAGAGAGAAGGCTGTCAAAAGCATGTTTTTCTCTGTCTGTTTCTCTCTTAGTACAGTCAGAAAAAAAATGTAAAAAGAAAGAAGAAAGAGAAAGAGAGAGAGAAAGAGAGAGAGAGAGAGAGAGAAAGAGAGGGAGAAATTCCTTTCTTAGATGGCTCCTTTCGCTTTTTAAATCTCTTATTACTTCGCTGCCTACATTACGCGAGAACGTCCAAGAACTTTCTTAACTTTCACAGGATTCGTATGCATCCCCCGTACTAACGACGAATTATTCAAGAATTCTCGAAAGAGAATCTCTCGGAAGATAAAGGGAAGAGACAGAGAAGAAGAAAATTCGTCTCTCCGCCGTTAATCTTATCGGGTTCTTTTCGTATCGATCAATGAACGAAGAAAAGTAGAGAAGGAAAGTTGAAAGGAAGAATGGAAAATTATTATATTTCATTTACATTTTTAACAACGTTATATGATATACATATCATTATTTTAATATTTAATTCTTATAATAGTCGATATATTAGTTTTGTTATTATTATTATTATTATTATTATTATTATTATTATTATTATTATTATTATTATTATTATTATTATTATTATTATTATTATTATTATTAATAATGTTATCATCTTTATTATTGACTTTAGTCAAATAAGTATTACTGTAGGAATTTTTGATAAATTGTATGTCTTTGTATTTTTTTATAGAAAAAAAAAAATGTATTACTAGTTTATTTTTTAAATGAATGACATTATAAAAAGTATTTTGTTTAATATTTAATATAAAAATGAACAATGCTACTATTTCTTATATTAAAAAATTCCTACAATATTTATTATGGCCAACTCCAGATATATATACATATGTGTGTGTGTGTGTATGTGTGTGTGTGTGTGTATGTATGTATGTGTAATGTTTTTCTACAGAATTTTTCTCTCTCTTTAGATATTTTCTAATCTATTTTTTTTGTTCTAAAAAAAAACTCCCTAGACATTTAAATTGAAACGACGAAGCAATTAATGAAATTCAAACCTTATTGTTTTTTTAATCGATTTACAACCAAATAAAAAAAAAAAAAAGAAAACAAAACAAATAAATTAAAAATCGATAAGAAATAGTATCACGTTTTATATTTAATAATAATCGAATGTTCGTACGTATGTATTTATGTGCGTACGTATTATAAATATACATATATATATATATATATATTTAAAAATACGAATGTTCGTTTCATTTCAATGAAAGAATCAGTTATAGACGTGTACAAGATGCGTCCATTTACGAGGCATGCGTTAAAGGAAGAAAGGAAAAGGATACTTATTCCAAGATCCGTAAGGTTACAAAAAGGGATCCAACAGTGAAATTCTTTTCACGTTCTTGATCCGCGACAGGATTCGTAATTTTGGTAAGAAGACGGCTGGAGCACGTTCAGAGAGCTTCTATCTCTACATCTATTCCCTGTTTTACTCTCTCTCTCTCCTTCTCTCTCTTTCTGTCTCTCTCTTTATCTCTCTCTTTCTCTCTCTCTCTCTCTCTCTCTCTCTCTCTCTCTCTCTCTCTCTCTCTCTTTATCTCTAACTCTCTTTCTAACTCGCTCATTTTTCTTTTTCTCTATTTCATCTCACTCTACTTATTCTCCTACGTAACTTAACGAAACGTGCGCGAAATAAAACGAGGCTATTGCGCATAATGCGAGAGATAGACCACGAAAATACGTGAGAATTGAAAAGTTCATGCGATGGCTTACTTTTCTTAGGATCGCTAGAGTCAGTAGTAGTAATATAAAAAGCTTTTATCATTGATTCAGCTACATACACATATATATATATATTTTTTTTTTAATTTACTAAAACCCTTGGATGCATATCTAAAATGTAAATACGTATATACATATATGTATTTCGAATTGATTCTCAAACTCGATCTCGTTCGTTATATGAATGATTTAGGAAAAAATAAAATGAAAAAAAAAAAAATGATAGAAAAATAAAAAAGTATAATTCATATATTCGAAACACAAGTACATATATATATATATATATATATATATATATATATATGTGTATATATATATATATATATAGATGTATATCTGTATTTAATCATGCGTTAATTAGTATGCTCGTCGCGATGACCAAGGTACGTATATGCGATCTCCATCTATAATGTAAAATAAAACAAAAAAGGAGACGAAATAAAAAATTTAATGATGCAGGGACTTATAAAGAACCAAAACGGTATTAATACGTGAGTGAGGAAAAATTATTAAGCTTCCTGGCATTGGCCGTCGAACGATAGATATCGTATGATGACGAGTGCATATTGCAGTGGTTAAAAAAAGGAAGAGAGAGAAAGAGAGACAGAGAGTGAGAGAGAGAGCTGAAGGGAAAGGGGAGAGAGTTTTCGGTCGAAGTCAAAGGGAAAATGGAAAACCGACGAAATCAATTTTACAGTCAGCTTCTCTTTTCTTTTTTTTTTTTTTTTTTATTTTTTTTCCTTTTTTTTCTATACATCGCTCTGAACTCGTTCCGGATTCGAAAAAAATTTCATGGCTTTTTTTCCTTAATCATCGCGTGTGTCGTTAAAAGAGCTTGTTGTGAAAGAACTTTTTCTTTTTTTTTGTTTTTTTAAATTGCATAACGTCGAAAAGAAATAGGAGGATCTAAAGAGGATCAAAAAAATTTATCAGAAAAGAAATCGTAATACGATAAAATGGCTAAATCAACTTCTATCTTTAGATAGAGAGAAAGAGAGAGAAAGAGAGAGAGAGAGAACGTAAAGTATCGATATTACGAGATTTCTTTCCTATCTCTCGACGGATATTGTCCAAATTTTCTATCTAGGTGTTTCTGAACTACTCAGAGAAAATTCCAATATGTCGAGATAAAAAGATTTTTTCATTAGCTTCGTACATATTACTTTATGTTTTATATAAAGGATATGTTACTTAAAATGGAACATCGAAGTATCCATCTAGTTTAAAAATATATCAAATGAGATTATTACAAAAATGAACTAAGTTAATTTTATTTTCGTATGTTCGAATTTAAATCATTTAAATATTATTGTAATGACAAACGAAAAGAAAAATTGTGCGAATATATTTATTATTGAGACAGGAAGAAAAAGATAATTATTATTCAATTAAAAATAATTATTGAGCCCTTTAATATCTCAAATGATTTGCTTCGGATAACTTTTATGATAAAACGAATCGTATGAAGACGCATTTACTACTTTACTTAATATTTTCCATTCAAGATCAATAAAGATTCCATTAGTAGATTCTTGTTGCATTTATCGATAAACTAAACAACGAGAAAATGTTCGAATATTTTTCCCTTTCATATGACTAAACCTTATTATACGTAATAGTCGTTTGAACTTTATCTAGGGATGTAAAATTGACGAATGGAATATGAAAGTATGTGAATTTTTTGGGATTTGAATTATAACCATGCATCGCTAGGGAAACTATTGATCCGTATAACCTAGGATGCTGGTTAGAATATTTTCAAGATCTAGTTTTTAAGATCGCTCGATATCTCTATCATAACGCATTACCTTTTTTTCATTTTCTTATTTTACCTCTTTCATTTTTATGTATCTTTCATGGCGTTCTTTGAAACGAATCAATGGATTAAATCGATTTAAGTTTCTTTCAATAAATTATATTGAAATAAAAAAATGGTACAGTTTATTCCTTGAGAAAAATTTTCGAGAATTATTCCGTCGTGAAATTTATCAAAAAAAAAAAAAAAAAGAAAAAAAATATATATATATACAACAAAATGAAAAAAAGAACAAATAAATCGTGCGTAATTTAATCGCATGGATTAATAAAAAAAAAAAAAAAAAAAAGAAAAGAAAAAAGAAGAAGAAAAAATTAATTACTTATTTTTCAACTGTTACAGATTGGCTCACTGAAGAACTACTTCCTTTTCTCTCATAGACGATTAAACAAGAGATCACTGACAGAGAGCGAGCCACATCACAGAATACTCAGAGACGATTCACGAGTAAGTGTTTTATCCCATTTCCTTTGAACAATCTCTTTGAATTCATTAACGATAACTAGACAGGATTAGTATAACTAGAAAGGGTTATAATAAACCGAAAGAAATCATATATGGACAAGAACGCATTTTACGAAAGTTGAAACTGTAAAAAAAAAAGAAATGATATTACCCTTCGATAAACGTTCGATTGAAAATCAGTAATGATACGAAAGTAATCTTTTTTTTTCTGTATTTTCTCGAGGAAAAGAAGAAAGGCAGAGGAAATTGATATAAAGGGAAAAAGCAAATAATATTAAAAAACAACGAAAAAGGGAGAAGCTTAACTCTGATATTTCTGAAGTAAAATCCCTTTCGTTTGTAGGTAGTCTTTAAATGTACTCTTGAAGAATTCTCTCTCTCTCTCTCTCTCTCTCTCTCTCTCTCTCTCTCTCTCTCTCTCTCTCTCTTACTCTCTTTCTCTATCTTTCTTTCTATCTAAGAAAGACGGAGAAAACGATAAAATACTATCGTGTTGAGAAAGACAATATTGTCTTTAGAACGCTCGACGGGACCACCTACCTTGCGTTTTCTTTACCAGGACAATAGAATCTTCGAGATGCGCTTTAAATCGAACGGCGGGGGTACGTCTTCGGAGAAAAGAGAATCCGTGATATTTCGATATTACTCTTCTCTAGATCTCATTCTACTTTGGAATAACGTTTACCTATTGCCCGTAATTCGTGAACATCAAATTCGTGACCCCGATAAACGAATTCCCAAGTCGCTCGTTATTTAATCCTTGAGAAGTTATGGGATAATTTTATGCATACCGAAGGAAGGAATGTCGAATTCTTCAAAAAAAGAAAAGAAAAGAAAAGAAAAGAGAAGAAAAAGAGAAGATGAAGAAAACAAGAAAAAAGAAAAAGCGAATCCATCGAATTAATCGATCTCGAGATAACAAATTGAAAATATCTGTTCTTTTTTTTTTATTTTTTTTTTTTTTTTAATCTTTAGAGGTTTTTTTTCTTTTTTTTTTTTTTCTTTACGAACATGATGTTCTACATGAAATACTTATCTCTCATTTTTATTTATCTATCCATCCATCTATCTATCTACGGTATAATCAAGCTCGAGATATAAATGAAATATATATCGACGATCGAATTTGAATCTGTTTTTAAACATTTCTACGGATATTTTACGGTCTTTTTTTTTTTTTTTTCATTTTTGGTTTAAAAAAAAAATGATTATATCCCAAATGAAATATCTGTCTATCTGTTCGTTCGTCTATCTCCCCCTCTTTTTATTTAAATCGAAAAAGAAGAGACTCCGGTCACAGGGTCCAATTTATTCGTGTCGAAAAGTTCGATTCTCGGAGATCGATACTTTTTCTCTCTCTCTCTCTCTCTCTCTCTCTATCTATCTATCTATCTATCTCTCTTTTTCTCTTGTGTTATATCGTCTAACTCTTCTAGTGTTAAGGAAAGGAGCTCTCGTTTTCCTTCACAACTCCTCGCGATTACTTATTCACGACACGAGCCGCGGATTTTCGATGTTTCTTCGACACCGACAGGATTTGCCGATTCTCTTTTACACGTTCTCGAGAAGGAGATCCTTCAACGACGAAGAGAACGACGGGAACAACGACGAACGTCTTTCGACATTCTTCGATAATACATACGATATATTCCTCGTGTCTTTTAGTTCTTTCTTTATTTTTTTCTTTCTTTTTTCTTTTTTCTTTTTTTGTTTTTTTTTATTATTTACTTTTATTTCTACCCTTTTCCTACTCTTTCATTCGTTTATTTCTATTTTTTTTTTTATTTTCTCTTCTCTCTCTCTCTCTCTCTCTCTCTCTCTCTCTCTCTCTCTCTCTCTCTCTCATATCCTTGAAACAAATTTATGAATAATATGTATCGCGAATATACAATATGTATCTTCTATGCTGACTTAAGGATATAACGAGTTCATGTCACAGCAGTTTTCTCGAATAATCGTCGAAGACATGGTCGCAGGTTTACTTTACGAGCTTCATCCTCCTTCCCTCTTAAATCCCTTTTTCCCGTTCCCTCAAATTCTCCTCGATCTCTTTTACGTTTTACGATCGACTCAACGTATACTCCAAACGGTGCTGTTTTATGTTATTTACGTTCGCGCGATTATCTATTCAAAATATATCAATCGATTTCGGTTGACTTGCGATGGAAAGGATAAAAGAAAAAAAAATGGAAAAAGAAAATTGGAAGATGAAGAAGAAGAAGAAGAAGATGATGATGATGAAAAAGATAGTCATTCGCAGGATCGTTTTCTTCGATCATTTCTAGAAAACGATTTATGAACGATCTTGCCTGGCTATCTTGAATCTTACGTCGGTTGCATGCAAATTATAAAACGATCGATTGCACATCTATGAGAATTCTGTATGAATGAAGTGAGAAAAAAAAAAAAAAGAAAAAAGGAAAGAAAGAGTTTTAAGGTAAAAAATCCTTAAGGAAATTTTGATCACGTAAACGTATATATGAAACGTGAGCGAAATCGTACATACGGGAAGGATTATATCAAGAATGATTTATTTAATGATTTTAACGGGAGGAAAAATGAAAAAGAAAACAAAAGAATCGTCGATACTTATGTTGATTGATAATTGCAATTAAAGATCCAATAGAAACGTGTTATGTTTCTCGTAGTGATATATATTCGTTCGATTAAACCTTCAAATAACATAAGGTTATGCTTTCTCGGGCGTACGATATTGTGGCATCGAAAGACGAAGGAAATAGAGATAGACAGCGATAGAAAGAGAGAGAGATAGATAAATAGAGAGATAGAGATAGAGATAGAGGCAGAGATAGAGATAGAGAGAGAGAGAGAGACAGAGAGAGAAGAGATTCCTCCATTCGATTGTGCATTCTCGAAGCATTTGAACGTTTCGTCCTTTCGGAAACGACCTTGTTGAGATAGACTCGAAATCGTTGAGCCGCGAACGATCAGTAAAGAGAGAGAGAGAGAGAGAGAGAGATAGAGTCTACCTTAGCGTTCGTGATTCATAGGATGCATTTTCGTAAATGTCGTATCCTCGTCCTCATCCTCGTTCTCGTCCTCCTCATCCTGTTCCTCTTCGTCGTCTTCGTTGTCGTAGTTGTCGTCATCGTCATTGTTATGTAGTAGTGGACATGAACATCAGAACTCGGAACTCGGCCGATCCGTACAATGCGTAACCCGCCTTGCATTCTGGATCGTTGCCAAAATGCAAAGATCGTGAATCTCGCGCCGGTGAAAGGGGAATTACAAGACAGAGACAGGTAGAGAAAGAGAGAAAGAGAGAGAGAGAGAGAGAGAGAGAGAAATTAGAGAAAATAAAAAGTAAATTTATTTTATTTTATTATATATAAAGGAATGTAAAAATTATACGTAATGTTTAATACGAAATATGAGATAAACCGATATATATATATATATATATATATATATAAATAATATTATAAACAAATATTTATACATATATATATATATATATATATATATATATATATATATATATATGTAATAAAATATGAAAAGAAAAAAAGAAGCTGATACAAATCTCGGCTCTCTGTATACAATTTTTTTTTTATTTTCTAACTTTTTCAGTAGTAGAAAAAAAAACAAAGAGAGAGAGAGAGAGAAGATACGCATGAACGAAAGTCGAAATAGACGATTTTCTCGTTCTACTCGGCCGTTCGGTACTCTCTCAAATTAAAGCTCTTCATTCCGAGAACGTTTTTCGTTGATTGCTCGATTAACGACCCGCATGTTCGCCGATCCGCGTCCTAACGACCATCAAACCCTCTCTCTTTCATTCTCTTGTGTTCCATCCTTCTCTCTCTCTCCCTCTCTCCCTCCTTCTATCCATATATACATAATATATATATATATATATATATATATATATATATATATATATAGAGAGAGAGAGAGAGAGAAAGAGAGAGGGAGAGAAATTCACGAAAAGCGTGGATATTTCGCGGCAAATGAAAGTAAAACGACATCACCATTCGACGTCAAGAGTTCAACTAATTTACACGCTCGTAACTGCGCGCTTGCGTTTTACGCGTCCAACTTTATCCTCTCGTAGAAAGCAAAAAGAAAAAGGAAAAGAGTGAGAAGGAAAGCAAGGAAAAGATGGGAAATTTATCGAGCGTCGAATCGACGTTAATTGTACTACCAACGCGCTCACCGATTATTTCCGCGATATTTATTTTAAGAAATGTGCCGTGAAAATTCGTATAAAGCTTTCTCTCTCTCTCTCTCTCTCTCTCTCTTTCTGTCTATCGTATTAATGTCGGCTAAATAAACGAATACCGTGCCAAAATGTGAGATAAGTGGTAGAAGGATAAATAGCGTGAAACGTTGATAGATGTCATTTCGTTTCTATCGAAAAGAAAAAGAAAATAGAGAAGATAAAGCGATTAATTAATAACGATATTCGATTAGATTACACACAAAACTGAAGCTATTTCTTCTTTAATAAAGAGAGAAGCCGATCGCTATAAATAAAAATTTATCATCGTCATATTCATCTATGATTTTCTTGGCATTACGAGAGAAAGAAAAAAATCTATTATTCAAAGAACTCATAGAAATACAAATTCGGAAAAAAGAAAAAGTAAATAAATAAAGAGAAAAAAGAAAAATATCTGTCGTTTTGCAGGTGCACTGGTTCCAGCAGCAACATGAAAGAAAACGTAAGAAGAGAGATTTCGAAGCGACATCCTTTGCCACTTTTGGCGATTATCCTCCGTTCTTCGAAGATTTTGGACCGCGACCGAGACAAGCATCGTTTCATCGTCAAAGAAATCGAGGTGTACCCTTTCAAAATTTATTCACCGATCCGTTATTTAAAGAACAATGGTACCTGGTAAGTATTATCTCTTTTATTTCTTCATATAAAATCTTTCTTTCTTATGCACAGAGCCGGTCACATTTACTATCGCAAGAAAGATTAATCGTAAGCGAGGATGGCGCATAAAGATTTTATTCCTGACGAATGGCGACATAAAATGAAACAAAAGGAAAAAAAAAAAAAAAAAAAAAACAAAAAAAACATGACCCAATACATTTCGTCGGGATTAAATCAAAAATTAACGAAAAAAAAATCTTAAATGATCAAACTGATATATGAATTTAATCGATAAAAATAGAATGAAAGAAGTAATAATAATAGATTTAATAAAATAAATTAAGAAAAAAATTGATTTGTTCTTTTGATGACGTTCTTACAACGTCATGACTGCACACGATTGATGGGGCTTTCAAAACAAAAATTATATACATATATATACATATATAAATACAATTGTGCCTTGTTGTGGAACTTTTCGATAGTAGGAAAAAGGGTTGATACTCAACATCGAAAATCTTCTTCCTTTAGCTGAATCTCACTCGTCTTGAGAAACTAGTAGCGAGCAAGTGAGTGCGACGAATTACGTGACAGGAATGTATCGTTCAACGAACCGTACGACATTCGATAAAGGTTCGGTGAGGCCTCGCAAACGTATTTTACGAAATCCGACTCTCTACGGAAGCGCGTGCTTCGAAAATCGTTTCGCTTCGATGAATGGGGAAAAATCGCGATCCGGTAAATTCGACGGTGCAGGAAAATATTCGAGATACTAAACGTTATCGCAAAATCGTCGATTGTTACTCAAAATTTGTGACATCGATATATGTATTACATATACATACATAAATACATACATACATACATACATATATATATATATATATATATATATATATACATTCATATGTATCTATGAATATAATGTACATCGTTATGTATACGCGTATGTATATATACGTAAGCGTGTATATTACGATTAAATTCTTAAAGAAAATTACATCAATTGAAATTTATTGATACGCTCTTATTTATTTCTTTTAATTTGTTTCTCATGAACCGTGATAAACTTTATTTATTTCCCATAGACAACGTAGAATCTTCTTATACATAAAATATAAGTTAGTGTACCTATTTATGTAAATGATAATAACTTTGCGAGATATTTAACTTTATCATTGATAAAGTAGTTAAATAGATTCTCGATTATTGAAACGATTGATTAATTGAATTTCAAAGAGTCCAACTTTGATAATACAACAAGACGCTTTAAAAGATAAAATCGTTTCTTTGCAAATAATTAATTACATATAATGAAATACTTTGAATTGTAAAAGGATCATCGTTGTATTTTTCTTTCTTTTTCTTTTTCTTTTTTTTTTCTTTTTTTTTTTTCTTATTTTTCTTTGAGAAATACGCAAACAAATTGTCAAATAATTTCATCGTATTCGTTAATCTATAAGTAGAAAAATTTTGCCTACGAAGCTCATTTTTATTAAATTATTTTCTTTCTCTTTTTTCTTTCTTTTTTATTTTTTTTCTCTCTTTCGCTTTCACTCCTTCTCGCATTTCCAATTAACGAACCTCCACGTATACGTATACATACATACATAAACTTCAACGTCGTACTGCCAACACAAAGGACCAATTATCGCGCTATAACGAACGACGACCACGTAATAACTTCGCGACTGAAATAATTTGCATTAATTCTCGTGTCTGTTTATCGTATAATCGAATGTCCGGTAAGGTCGAGGGGGAAATGTAAGCGAGATACCGAGTTAATCAGCCGAAATACCGGCATATCGAATCCGCTCATGCTATTACGATTGATCGCACCAAACGAATAGAGATACATTAAGCCGTTCGATACACACGTTTCTATTTTCAGAATGAAACTGATACGAGCATTATTCTTTTCTCTTTTGTTTATCTACACCTTCTTTTTTATTTATATGTTTTTGTTTTTCGCTTTTTAGTTGATCGATTCAAACATAAAGTTAAAAAGAGAAAAAGAGAGAGAGAGAGAGAGAGGCAGAGTGAGAGAGAGAGAGAGAAATCTTTTGATATAAAAAGTATATATTAATTCGACCATTCGTACTAAACTGTTATTAATTTTGCATTAATATTGCATATTATTATTATTATTATTATTATTATTATTATTTGTATCGAAAATTAAACCTTAAACGATAGAATTTCATCCTTTTCCTCTCTCTCTCTCTCTCTCTCTCTCTCTTTGTCCCCATACTATTAGAAATATAAAGTGAAATGCACGAAGAGAGTATAATAAATTTTATTGTATCATATCCGGGGAAAATATCATTTTGCAGGCATTAAGAAAATTAATTTCCATTCAATATTAAATGCTAATAATGACCTTTAATTCCATATGTTTTTCATATTTGTTTGTAACATAATAAAGAGAAAATAAATAAATGAATAAATAAAGAAAAAAAGAAAGAAAGAGAAAGAAGCAACGACATAAAATATCGTTCAGCGATAAAATTTCTTTGGGATGACGGTATTAACGTAAA